ACCAGCACAACCTATCGCCGCAGGAGCCACGTCACCATAACCCTCCCACCCAATCCCACCCCATTCGTTGTAAGCTCTGCCCCCAATACCTCTAGTTCGACATTCCCAGCCCTCACTTTTCACTTAGTCTGACGACGAACAAATGATACCTGTTCGAAAATTCACGGGTACAACTCGATTTCCGAAGATCTTTCTCTTCAAATTCATATATGGCATATAAATCAATAAGCTTATTGATGCCTGCCTTATGTGAGTGCATTAGCTTTCAGAAATTCACAGTTTTTCCTTCCTGCGTAGGTACCAACAATGCGAGTTTTTGTCCACACTCATGATACATGTACCTATTACGTACGCAAGACATACACATATATTGGATAAGTGAGGTAGTTTGCATTCCAAGCAGCACACACAGTCAGCAAACTTACTTTCACCGAAAGCCGAAAAGAATTGCTCCTTGGGTACCCAAATAACCTCCGCACTGACGACGTAATCAGACAGTTCATCTCGTTTTTGCATCAAAATATTGGCTATTTGAATGCCGCTTTTAAGGGCCTGTTCAGTGCCGTGATCCATTGAATCGAGCACTGCTCCTGAAAATGTAAGATGCAATCACTTGTTAAACAAGTTAAAAAGTTGGAGTGACCTTTACAGTATGAAATACTAGCCCAGAAAAGTCTATGAAATAACAAGAATTCATTTATGCGCCAACGTATGTATGCGTGCTCAAACTAGAATACGGAAGAAAACGCTTTGGATGAGACACTTGCAGTTTTATTACCCTTTCGCATTTTTTAAATGGTAATTTGATTCACCTGGCTTCTGACTAGCGCATATAAATGTTCGGGATACCTGTTTTTATTATCTAGCGGAGGGATGTAGAATTTGGCAGATTATATGGTGACGCAATATTGAACCCGAAGTCAGACCTTCTTAGAAACTAAACAAACTTCAGATAAGCGTTTTAGAGAATTAAGATAATATGCCAATCTTAAGAAGGTCTTCACTCTGCACAAATTCTGATGATGACAATGAAACGAACCGGCCTAGTAGTCATTCTGGTGGATTCTAGATGATTGCCTAGGAAAT